TGCTATCATATATGATGTCCTCTGCAATAATTGCCACACGCCCTAAGGGCTCTGGGATCCATGGTTGTCATCTCAGCGGTGGTCTTCATGACTTCCGTGGATAGTTGTCCAAGAAGAATGCCCGCACTGGTTGTCGCTCTGGAGGTAGGGGTCTTCGCCGTGGCCACATCTGTTGCGACAGTTGAAAATTCGGGGAGCTGCAGCCATGGTGGTTGCCTTGCCTTGTTCAAAGCAGAGTATTGGCTGTAGGACTCGTAGCTCCAGTGCCACATCGCCAAAGCGTGTTGCCACGGGCTGCAGCGTGATTGGGATCCAGTCTCGCAGCAACGAAATTCATATTGTGAGGTTCAGAATGGCTTGGAATGCCATCTGAGTCCATCACCTTGGAATTAAAATGATTGATGAGCTCTTTAACCATAGTCATCTACAGGACTAATGAAAGTCAATAAGTTGGCCCAATCTATAGCTGGTAATTAATATTTTCGCCGCAGGTTAATCAGAATACCGCCTGTGCGCAGCCTGTGCGAATATCCGCCCTTGTTCATAATTTCAACAAAGCAAACGACATTGCTGCAGCGCGAGGAATGAGATTATGCGTTCTTTGTGGACTAATAGTGAATGTGTACCTATAATCCAATGCAAGTGATGTACATGTAATAAACAGATATTGGCGCAATTTGCACATTGGTATAATTCTGTTAAGTTGTAACTGATTCGAATTCGAAAGCGCCATGTTTCATTCCAGGACATGTCGAATTCTCTGGCGCTTCCAGTAGTTTGGGAAATGCTTAAAGTACGGAAAAAAACACTACAAGTACGGAAATAACTCCAAAACACAAAACAATGCAGTCATACTTCAGGACCCTAATTCCGCAGATGGACTGGTACTTCCGCAGGTGTAATCTGCACAAAAATTATCACGCAAAATAGAACTGCTGGCTTTACGCATCGGCCGCGAGCCAGAATCAGAATACCGAGAGGAATCTTGGCCCATGTTATCAAAATTAGTCAAATACTACCTCTGTTCTAGAAGTCGTGTTGCATCTATAATTTACGCGAACGGAGATCAAAATGTGCGCGTCAGGAAAATTGACCAAAGCCATTTCGATGCGCCATACCAAGAGCTACTCAAAGAGCTCTCTGGCATGGCAAACGGAGCTGCCGTTCTTGATATAAGTTGAGTGCAGCTGAAACGCGATTTCAAATTTTGTCAGGACCTAGGACGGGGTATAGAGAGCTCGTATAGCCCTTCATAAGAAGTGGATCGACTTTGGCCATCTTTAGGAGCGCGGTATGCTTTGTTGGCTTGGTCTGCACCAAGGATACGGCTTGGATTCCAAACAGAATGAATGAGCGAGAGGGTCGTAGTTTAGTACAGAATTTGGGCTGTCAACAAGAACATTGCAAAGGTTGTGGCCAGGTATTTACACCGGAAGCAAGGATCAACGTTGTGGCAGCAGATTCAAGTATCGAGGTCTGCTAGAACAAAATTAGAGAACCTGCAAAGCTGTCAGGCTTTTGGCCATCAATCCCGGCCTCTCAGGGGTGGCCGAGCTTTGGCAGGCCATGCTGCAGATACCCATAAGTACTGGAAGTGTAGCAAATAGGGATTCACGCTTGGTGGAAAGATAGAGTGAGGGAGTGGGGTGTGGGGTGCTGGTCAAACGTTTTGTTGGGCCCCGGTCAGACCCAAATCAAAACAGCGCCTTCCCCTAGAATGTCATGGACATCATGCCAACAACTATCGTCCTATTTCCTGGCAGAATGAATACGTTGTGCAATGTTACGATATCGTGGCTTGACGACGTGACATCGACGCCGGAGGGAATCTCCCAGAAGAAAATGAAGAAAGTGCAAGCGGAAGATGCACAAGTCTGTGAGCAAACGGCATGGATTTTGCGAGTCGCGTGGGTGTGATAACACGTTCATTGTCATAGTGGACCCCATACACCAGTCACCGGTGGGGCATTAACATTGTCCAGTTTGGACGGCTCTTGCCTTGGAAATCACATTCTCATGTGTGTCACAACATTCAGGACAAGGTGGGGGGTACTAACCTGATGGTTATGAGAGCGAATCTTTCCAGGTTTTATGTTCCCGTCGGGTGCTTGCGGGCTGTGCTGTGAGTGCCAGCGGGGAACTAGTCCATTGAAGGCCATGTCAACTTATACGCGCTACTTGACGTGGGGCGTGCTTGTGCAGGCCACACGATTGCACACCATTGCAGATTGACCATGCTTGACCATTCCGCACCAAGGCATCCCTCTTCAAACCGTCAAATTTCCCGAAGATCGCTCGACCGATCTCACCAGCAAAACGCCAGGCCCTGACGTCCGACATTTCCCTGCGCCGACGCTTATGCACTGCTATCCCATCCGCCTCCGAGCGTCCCGCACAAACGAGGTTTTCCTTTCGCACAAAAACGTCCCAAGAACTCCAGCAGCGGGCCCAGCCGGGACGGCCTGTCCATGGTTCGCAGGAGCCGCCTCGCTGGCGCCGTCGCAAGGAATCATCTTGCGCCCAGAGCTGCAACATACTCCTCCGGTATCCAGCCCTCGACGAGGGGAAAAGAACGCTCTTTCCATGGCGAAGTCGACTGAGAAGGCACAGCCGCATCCCAGGCAGTGACTGGCTGGCCCCGGCTGGTCCAGCGATTGCAGCTGCCAAGGGAGGCGGGTTCGGTAATCCGCTGTCCAAGTTGATCTGGTGAGGCGACGGTGCACCGTGAAACCTGCTGATGGTGGGGCAGCTGGGGTGCTGTCTGCTTTGAGCGGGGCTGGGACAAGGTCGTCCCCGCAGAGATGGCCCAAATGAAGCCCAGGAGGCAGGGAGAGGGGAAGGTACCGCCCCGTGGCCTCTACAGCGCCTTGACCAGTGGCAGTGAAATCCTTGGATTGCGTTAATCTGCACAGGGCGAAATGGGGATTCATGACGGCTGTCGGAATATTGGTGGGCTGGCATTGCCTCTTGGAAACTTGGCTGGTCATCTCTTGCGGGCTGCAAGGGCGTTGTCCACCTGACTTGCTCTAGGATTGAGGATGAGAACCGAGGAACGCATTGGAACCCTGGTGGTACCATTGCGATGTTATTTGGATGCTAGGGATGCAGCCACTGGGGCAAATTTTGCCAAAAGCTAGCAGTGGGTTCATTCCATGCACACTTCAAAGTAACTTTGGACCATGGAGTGTGGTGATGGCCACCAGGCCCCCCCACACCCATTTCCAGTGCTGGTTTCCAGTCGTGCAGCTGTGTGCAGTGAGTGACAGCAGGGATGGCTGTGGCGCCACAGGACCTTGGGGCTGAAAAGATTCCTTTGCTGGAGGTTGAGGCACCCCAAAGATATCCTGCAGCCTTTCTTCGAGGTGCGGCTTGTGTTGCTGCAAGCATTGGTTGGATGCTCGCCTCCACTGCGCTCATCCTCCTCAACAAGCATCTGATGGTCACAGATGGGTTCAAATATCCAATGGCACTGTCGGGAATGGGGATGGTTTTCAGCTCGCTGGCAAGCTTCCTATGCTGCAGGTGCCCACAGCCTTGCTGCAGAAAGATATCTTCTTTGATGCTTGATTTCGATTCAAAAGAACTCTACCTGAAAACGTGCCTGGCTGAGAAACCACTCCATCTTGAAATTTCTCCAGCACTAACAAGGAGACCTGAACTGCCATGACAGCTTGCAATACTTCTCAGCAGCTGAAACTTCAGCCTGACGATTGGACCACAACAAAACCCAATGCATTTGCTTAATAGAATGCAGGGCATCCTGTGACAATCACATTCTTACGTTTAATATTATGTGCACCTTTGGACAACTGTGATTTGGCATCGCCATTGTATGACTTTGCCCTAATTTTCTGTCATTATTGACATCAAATCAGCGCTGCACTTAGATGAATGTTGTTTGTCGACATGTCACACAATGGGTAACCCCCTTCTTCGGCAGGAAATCTTTTGCTTATTCCTGTCTGTCCTGCATAAGATGATGCACACACTAGGAATGCACACACTGCTGAGTCACATGTACAACAACAGGGAGGGCAATTAAACACGGTGTAAAATGTTCCTTTGTACAGCGCTTCCATTTGGATTTCGTCGTTGTTTGCATTTCTAACGGCAGAGAAACTGCTGTGCTATCACGTTCAAAGTGACGATGATCAGATTTCAATGAGCGAATCGCCATGCTGAAAGAAAACGAAACCACCATCTCCCCCCAAAAGCAAGCCCTCGGTTAAAATTTTCGCGTTGGTCCCAGAATTTTGCGCTTGTTGCTGTCCAGCTGTTCAGCGAGCCTGAACCCTAAATCCGGATGTGTGGAATTCCAAGCCAAGGGGATTCCCTAGCTTTGGTGAGCCGTACGGCGAGACACAGCATAGTTTTCGAAGCACGGCATTGACGTCTACTATAATGCAGGCTTCAATTGGACCTCTAAGTGCATTGGAGTTGATGGTGACTTCTCCATTTTCCCGCGCAGGGTTTTCAGGGTAGTCTCCATGAAGGCGAGCGGTATGGTGACCATGACCTTTTACCTCCAGCGGATTCTCCCTGTGGGGTTGTTTATGGCAGCAACGCTCCTCTTTGGCAACATGGTGTACTTCTACCTGACTGTCTCATTCATCCAAATGTTGAAGGCCTTCACCCCCGTTATTACCATGGTGTTTCTCTTTGCCGCAAGGCTGGAAACGCCCAGTCGAAGGATGATTTACTCTGTGCTGCTTGTGGCAGTTGGGACAGGTACGAGCTAAGGGTTCGTGCTTACAGTGCCGCGAATGCATTTCAGTTCACGGTCAATTTGCAGATATGTAGCTTCTGTCGATGTTTCTGTCCCATTATGATTGCATTCGTGGTGCCTGACGCATCTTGACATAGCCACCTGCGTCGCGCACCCGCCCTGGACGCAAACTGAAAGCCACGATCACAGACTTGGCACATTCTGTGGGCAATCTGACAGATGAATTATGTGCAGCTGCAACAATGTTTGCCTTCAAAAACATTGCCCCTTTTTAAACATGCAGCAAGACATTGCTTCTCTCTTCAGGATCCCGATTTCTGTACCAAAAAAGAGGCGAACGAATTTCACTGCGGTACGCAAGCACGCACATTCCAGCTGTGCAGTGCTGCAGCAGATGCGGCCATTTCGTGTGTCAGCGAGGGTTGCGCTGTCGTCTGCAGTGTGCTGTAAACACTCACTCCCACGTGCCGTGTCTGCGCAGCCATTTCTTCTTACGGCGAAGTGAACCTGTCCGTCTTCGGAATCACGGTCATGTTTCTCTCCGAAGCCGCGGAGGCCCTGCGACTCGTCATGACGCAATACGTCCTTGTCGGACTGAAGTTCCATCCCATTGAAGGCTTGATGTACTTTGCACCTGCGTGCACCCTCTGGTTGGTAATCGGTATCGCATTCACCGAATTGAGATCCATGATCGCGGACGGGGCAGCCGCCATCGTCGCGAGGTGTGTACACCGAATGCCGCAAACCATGGTTCCTGTACATTCTGTTCCTTTGGCGCGGCGAATCTATTTCGGCCAACGAAGCAGGCCTCCTGCCAGCATGAGCAAAGCGCTTGTGCATACAACCATCACGTCAGCTCTGTACAATCGAACGGCGGGATTCTGCCTCCATTGCCTGCGTGTGCGTGTGTGTGTGTGTTTTTGTGTGTGTGTGTGTGTGTGTGTGTGTGTGTGTGTGTTTTTTTTTTGTGTCTGTCTGTGTCTGTGTCTGTGTCTGTGTCTGTGTCTGTGTCTGTGTCTGTGGTAAGCTGTGTCTTTAAATCTCCAAAAACCACAGCACGCAATGAAGCAACCCCTTCCCAGCAAGAATACGTTGCTGGGAATGGGGCCGTTCCATTGCCTATTGTTTGTAAGTGTAATTTGTAAATTGTCTGTAATCCTAAATGCAAAGTTCGCTTTTCCTCGCTTGAAACCGCAGCTTGGTAACATCATGCGTTATTCATCGTTCAGATGACTATGCAGATGTCCAGGCTACCAGGGCGTTCGCCCAAGAGATCATCTCATGCCAAAGATTATAAAAACACATACCACACTCCGGCAAAAGACAATCTCCTTGCCACGCACCCCGCAACTACCTGAAACTGTAAGAAGGAAACTTGGCGGACCCCAACCCAGAACGCCATAGTCACCCCCCCCACTGTTTGCATCGGCGTCAACATAGAAGCCGCCGACGGCCGGAATAAATGTGCACAAGGCTAAGTGCATGTGTCGAAATGGCGCCCAGGCGGCAGTTTCCGTTGCACCTCCAACGCGATGTGCAGAGGTAATGATGCGCAAGGTGGTGTGCTGACGCTGCCAGGTCGCCATTGATGTACCTCACAGCCGCCTGCCTCGGCTTTGCTGTCAATACGCTTGCCTATCTGGTCATCATCCTGGCGTCCTCGCTGACGTTGAAGGTGCTGGGGACCGTGAAGAACACGCTGTTGGTGCTGTTCTGCGCGGTGTTCTTACACGAGACTGTTACGTTCGTCGAGGGCACTGGGTACGGCGTGAGTCTCGCGGGGTTCATGTGGTACAATAAAATAAAGATGGAGGGCGCCGGGCCGGGTGGTGAGTACATAGGCTATTGGCAGGCTGTTCCGTCGTGACTAGCATGGGCATTCTTCGAGCCTGTTGCATTCATTAAAAGTGGCGTTCCAACGGAGCATCAGACGCCATTGTGTGCAATTGTGGGAAATCCGCGACAAACAAGGCCATTGCAAATTAAATGGCAAGATATGCACAGAGATACCCTATAATATATGTCCAATGTTTCAAGACCATAAAGTCTCGCACCGCCCAGGTATGCCGCATGGGAAAGACAGCCCAGAGCGGCAATGAAATGTGGTTTGGACCCATTTTAGCTCATGATGCATCGCTAATGCATGATTGTGAGCGGTGTGATGCATTTAGCGTGGAGCGTAATTGTGTAAGAATGGGCTATGTTCTACCGGAGGCACACGCGATGAATCAGCTGGCATGTGGGTGCTGTTTTACTGCATTTGCGTTGGTTGCTGTACACCAACATTGCATCGTCCGGACGGGAGCCTGTTAGCATATGGTGTGGGTGGACGTGTGCGAACAAAGAATCCGCATTTTGAAGCCGCCTTCGAGCGTCTATCCTGTTTGTGGATGACGCAGAGAGCTTCCCAAATTACACGCTGTCCTGTGTGCTTCCTGCGGTAAATGTGTGCTCTGTGCTGTGAAGACAAACTGAAGCCCCCAATCGTGAAGGCTGAGGAGAAAGCCAGCAGGCGGCCGGATGTGGAGACACCCACGTGCCATCAGAAGAAGCCCGAAAAGGTCTGATGTTGGCAGGACGGTGGCGCTTGAAGAGCTGCTCAGCAGAGGATAGAGCAAGATGTGCTATTGTCGCGTGGATCGCTTCGCCGCCCTTAATATGCTCAGCACCTCTGCAATGGCTGGCACCTCTGCGGTGGCCGGCTTGCTGGTGGCTTTTATGGCATTACACGCAAATAATCAATTCGTGGAGCAGGGAAAGATGTTTCGCACATCATCTTCTCGTAACATTTGTATGTTTCTCACATCATCTTCTCGTAACATATGTATCTCGTAACATGTAATGCATGCAGTTGTCTTGCTTGTGGCGCGTGGGTCGACGACCTCCCAACCATATATGCACATGATGGGATGTGCCCTGCAACATGTGCAATTCGTTCTGAGAAGTTGTCTTGCGCGTGAAATCAGGAGAGTGCGTGCTGATTCCTCCTAGACATCGATTTCCCATCTGTGGCTATTCTGCCTCACAATAATCCACCCGGCTGACACGCACGCTGGCCAGGTGAATGGAATCGCGTTATGATGCACTATCTGTACAGGTGCCCATACACGTCACTATCAGTTTCTTCGCGATATCGAGAAAGTACTAGACCCCTGTACTATATGCATCTCGTAGCTTTTCACAACCGAACTCACACTTCCATGGCTAAGTGGGTGTGGGACACAGTATATATGGCTGTCTTTGGGATACCCTTGAGTATGGAGGCAGCCCGTCGACAGAGGAAAGCCCGTAAAGTCGGCCATCACTGGGCAAGCCCAGCATCCGTTTGAAACTCGTACCTGTATCCGGCGGATACTTTGGCCGTTCACACAGTTTGTGGACCAACAGGCTCAGTTTGCAAAGAAAAAGGGCCACCAGACAAGATTCTGGCCGCCGTTTCTGGCCACAGCTCCTGGTGTATCCCAAGGGCCTGTTTCAGCGTAACGGCCAAGGACATTCTCAAGCAAGACAATGGCAGTTTGGGCCTCTCATTAGCCCTGGCGATTTGGCGGCAGTTACTGGGCAATTTCCCAAAATGTTTGGCGTCAATTTGAGCAACTACCCCAAAATCAGAATCTTTCCCTCTTCTCAGCGCCAACTCGGCGTTGAGGGTGCCCAAAACAAGTGTCAATCCCAAAGCAAAGGGCCACTGGGTCTGGTCGCAGTGCAGGGAAACCGGTTGGAAAAGATATTGTGGGGCAAAAAAGGGGGCCTGACGAACAGCTCGTGATGTGAATTTTGTCCGGTGGCTCGAGCGTGAATTGGGCGGATTGTATTTCCCGCAAGATTTTACTGCTCTAAAGCAACCTCCAGAAGTCAGCCAAACCGTTTGTCGCTGGTTTTGCTGCCAAAACATGTGTGAATCATTGACCGGCTGACTTGAAGTCGGAAACTCTCTGTTCCATAGAAAAAAAACTGCTGTGGCAATCGACATAGTTGCCCGCTGGTGCCCCAATCCTCAAGCTACTGGCCATCGTTCATTTCAATCCATAGACATGAGTAACATGGCTCCAACAAAGTAGCATGGCAGCTCCCTTTTTCGCCTCTGGCAAACTGTGTCGACCACCTGACTTATATGGAAGCCCTGGCCATTGCATTCCGTTGCATTCCGTTCATGCCATCGCTGTGTCCAAACGCCCCCCTGAAACCCAGAAATGAGCCTTCGTCCACACGCGAAGGGGGAAAGAAATTGCAGCCGCGGACCCGAGTCGCCCGCTCCCTTGGACAAAACCCTGGACAAAACCCCCGGTCGGACATAGCCGACCCCACCCTTGGCCACGTCCTCATGTCCGGATTCGCATCCACGCAGATACACCTCCTTCCCACCCCGTGATCACTCCATCGCTCCCGTGGCGGCCACTCCGCCAAGTCCCGTCGACCTCCTCCCACCTGGCGTAGCCCAGTCGGTCCGTGGACGCGCGGACGCAGCTCGCGGCGATGCTGCGCGGCGGACTGCCACAGCTAATGGCGCCCATGGCACCCAGATCTGGGCATATGGCTCTTCGCGCGGAAACGGGAATTTGCGCTCTGCGTGTTGAAAAGCCGCGGGTGCCGATCGGGAGGAGAAGGTTTGGCACGCAGTGCGCGACGCTGAGGCGGCGGCAATGGAATGGGCCCATTGCGTCGCGGGCGGAGGGCGAGTGTTCAGCGCGGCCCGCCGGCGAAAATGAGGAAGTGTGTGGCGAGGCGGGGACGTCTGGCAAGGGCGAGAACGCCCGCGGGGCGACCGCGACGCGGATGGTGAAGAGGCTTTTGGCTGGGGGTGTGGTGTTGGGCGCGGGCGTGGCGGCGGCTGCGGCGACAGGTGGGTGGGAAAGGCCTGAGGGGTTGGCGGAAGTCGCGCGTCGAGCGGACGGGGCGGGGTGGGGAGTTGGCGCCGCGGCGAGTTTGAAGGGCATCTCGTGATACGAATGCTTGGGAGAAAGCGACGATCCGTTTGGGCAGCATGTGCCAAAATATGACGGACATTTCCTTGCATCGCCAAGGCGATGAAGAGGGCAACTGCACAGAAATGCTGTGGAGCATTGCTTGTTCGGCAAAGCTTCATTCAAGTCCACAAACTTCAACAATACTTTTGCTTGGCATTGTGTCGTCAACAACGTTTCATTCGCGTCCTAACACTTGAGCATAGAGGGGCGGATGCTCCAGATTCCTGGACAATACATGAGCAAGACAATTCATGCACAGTCATGCCCGTGGCAACACTCAGGAGCATCAGGCACAAATTTACTGGTTGGGCTTTCAGGAAATCCGGTGTCCAAGCCTGTCCATAGGCAGATGATTGTCCTTATCTGGCAAGGAAATGGAGCTTGGCTGGCTGGGCAAGCACACAGGACCTGTCTCTGCAGTGCATTGTGCTTGGTTCTTGGATGGCTTCTTGATTGGGGGGAAGGACTGCTGATCCTGCAGTAGAGAATGCACTGCCATGCTTTGAAAAAAGGCCCATGGGGGCCCATTTGATTGGCGCGTGGATTGCTCCTTGAAGTCACTTGCTGGACCAAACTGCAGCATTTCGTGTCCTTTGTTGTTGAGTTCCAGGACATCTAGTCATACCACACCTGCCAGCCACTGTGGACGTTGGGTGGCACAACAAAAGGCAACAATCTGCATTTGCCAGTGCACAGCCAATCTGTTTGATGACATTTGCCCAACTTGGTCATGGTCCCTGCTGTGGACAAATGAAATGCCTCAATAATGCACGTGGGGAATTTGTTGGCTGTGGTCTATCAGGTGCAGAGTTATCGTATGGACCAAATCCTGGGGGCCTGGCTGAGGCCGTTGCCATAATCGCCATGATTGTGGCTGTCCATGAAGGCGGTCACTTCCTTGCTGCAAGGTCACAAAACATACATGTCAGCAAGTTTTCAATTGGCTTTGGACCCGCCTTGCTGAAATACCAGGTAAATGTCAAACTTTCAATGGTGTTGTAAGCACTCATGAGTACGTGGAATTTCACACTTGTATGGGGAGATGTAAACTGCTATGTGGCCAACAGAAAAGGAGAGCACTTCACCCTTTTTGCTATGATACAACAGTAAAATATGCACCCAGTATGTTCACCAGCTTCCTGTGAATTCCCCTGTTGAGAGTTCAGGCCTGGAAATGCGAAAATAGACTGTGGTTGGATGTGCTGGAATTGGCACTGTGGTCTACCAATATATCCAAGGTCCATCCATGTGTCTGTCCCTGTCCATTTTTCCTTGTGCAACCTCCCAAAAATGTTGTGAGGAAAATGTTGACACTTGTTCTCCATTAGTCACCGAATTGCACAGTGCAGGAAAAAATGGACAGAAGTTGCATATTGGATGTAGGCTGGACGCATTCTGCACCTGATTTTTGTGCGTTTTGGAAGTGGAGAATGAAAAAAGTGCTCAACAGCCTGATGAACATGTTCCCGATGTTTTTGCACTCTTCTTCTTGGTTCCTTCTGTTTTCTGACAAAATAGAGGGGTGGTAGAGAACACACGATGTTGTGTTGTGCCATGAGCACACACAGATCAACTTACGATTCTGGCAACAGAAATTGGCTTGGGCAGCAGTACATCGATACAATGGCTGGTACTGCTGCTGTATTGCTGATGTGTCTTGTGCGCTTTATGAACTGGTGTGGTAAATCTGCAGGGTGAAGAGGTGGAATACTCTCTGAGGGCGATTCCTCTTGGAGGCTTTGTCAGCTTCCCTGACAACGATGCTGAAAACCCCTACCCTCTGGATGACCCTGACTTGCTCAGAAACAGGACAATCCCTGAGAGGGCGCTTGTGATCAGTGCAGGCGTAATAGCGAATTTCATGTTTGCATTTGGGATTCTGCTTGCGCAGGTAGGAGTGAAGTTGTGGTGCATCCTTCTGTGATATATGTGACAAAGCACTGCCTTTGCACCTTGAACGTGATAATTGACATAAACGCGATAACCGACATAGATCCATGCAGAATGCAGAACCAATGTCGATAATGGATCTTGCAATTGGAAACATTTGTGGATGGCTGATTGACCGGTGGCCATAGAAGTCACAGGAATCCAGACACCTCATGGTTGTGTAGTTCCACAATGGAAGCACTGCTATAGAATAGTTCAGGTCTTTAGTTGCTTTTCTCAAGGCCAGAATGAGCAAAGGTGCTGGTATGGGCTTAAAGCTTGCAAGCATGGGTTGTATGTTAACTTGCCATTCTGTGGAGCACAGGAAAAAACGTCATGACGATTTTAAACTTGCTCAACTGCACTCTGATTGGCACTTGCTGTGGTGCTTGATACATGCTCGAATTGTGAGCATGCAAGGTCGTTGATGCACTGCCATGCCCAAAATGAGCAGCTGTGGAAACTGCTTTGCATGCAATGTTCGAAAGTGGTCTCGATATGCTTGCACATATTTAGTAAGCACATAGTTGTACACATTAGTGACACAGAAGTAAGCACACATCGGGGGCAACTTGTGATACAGGGAGTGTACATTCTGTGCTGTGGAACACACCAATAGGGTTCTTGCACAGAGGAGCTGCTGTCTTGAAACATGGCAGTTCAGGATGCTTGCGAGGGAGCTGCCATGTGTTTTGTGTTAATTCCTACTTCACTGGGTAGGGAATCCTTTAACCATGCTGTCATGAATTGCTTGATATATACCATCCTTGGTCACTTGAGGGCCTGATACATGTCAAGGAATATGTTGTGCAGGCATGTTCTATTAGGCGATTCAGTGCAAGGCAGATATCTGCTGCCTGGTTTGTTTCCGTTACCTTGTGTTGCAGCCATCACCTGTACATGCAGAATTGTGGGCTGTGTGCTGCTGTAGGTCACCACGGTTGGTGTTGCAGACCGTGTCTATCAACCAGGCGTGAGGGTCCCAGCGGTGACACACAATTCGGTTGCAGAAACATCAGGTATCCAATTTCGTTGCCAAGGAGGTATCCGTCTGCCATATTGCTGGCAGCTGATGTCGAGAGTAGCTTCCCTGGATCTGCCATCAACGAACCTGACGGGAAAAGTTTTGCTTGAAAACTGCCTTAGAATTACATGTTGAATTTTCAGCAATGTGCCTTGACCAGCTCATCGACATTGCCGCGCTCGAGAAAAGGATTGCCTCCTTGTCCTTTGTTCATGCAGCTACATTCTGCATTCAGTGGCTTTGTCGATCCCCTGCCCAAGGAGGGCACCCAGTTCCTACAACCAGTTGTGATCAAGCGTTCTTGGGAGCCAGAGAAGTGAGAATCTGCCACCCATTGGGTGATACTTGTCCCAGGTTTAAAGGCCAATGATACCATCATCTCCGTGGATGGCGTGCCAGTTGTGGCAGGAGCCTCATCAGTTTCCAACGTTGTCGATGCCATCAACAGCAGCCCGGACCAGAAGCTGACGCTACTTGTCAACCGCGGTGGTAAGACGCTGCCGATTACTGTGATCCCTGAGAAAGATTTCGATGGGAAGGGACGCATCGGATTGCAGCTCGTGTCCAATGCAACTGTTGTCCGCACCAAGGCCAACGACCTGTTCCAGGCAGTGGTACTCGCATCAAACGAGTTCAGCAGGATGTGTGGAGACATAACGCGTGCCCTTCAAAACTTTGCTGGTAATTTTAAAGTGGGTGAGCTGTCGGGACCCCTTGGTGCTGTGGCCGTTGGAGCAGAGGTGGCTCAAGCGGATTCTTCACAGCTGTTTCAGTTCGCTGCCGTCATTAACATCAACCTGGCGATTGTGAACATGTTGCCAATGCCTGCTTTGGATGGTGGGTTCCTGGCGTTGTTAGCCGTCGAGGCTGCCAGGGGCGGCAGGAAATTACCCCAGGGCGTGGAGAACGGGGTCATGGCATCTGGGTGGCTGGTGCTGATGACCCTGGGTGTTGTTCTGCTAGTTAAAGACACATTTAGCCTAGGAATATTCCGAAATCTCTTGTGACTGCGATGGGTGGTTCTCCTGCAGTATGCCAACGTATAAGCAGTTTTGACGTGCATAGCAACCAATCAGGGTGCATCTGCGCGCTATAGACGATTGCGCTGTGTGGTGGTGCCACCAGCTGTTGTTCGTGCTGTACAGCACGTGTCGGAACAGTACGTGTCCACGTGGGCACATGAGTCAGAACTGTTGCCCGCGCTCAGTCTCAGGTGATTGCGCTGACTGGGTGATGGGAACGAGGTATGGCGCGCCGATGATCGACAGTTTGATGGACTCTGAGGGCGATCATCAACAGGGAGGCTTGTTTCCTGGCGATGTAGGTTCATGCTATGGTGATTCGCATTTCATATTTTTGGCATTTGCAGGGCACGGTAGGGATTGAGAGAACCGGGCTGGCGGTGCGGTCTGTGCTATAAAAGGGGATCGGAAATATCGTGCTTCGGTATTAACCAATGGCGTGCATTGACTACTGGCTGGAATTTTGTCCGAAACTATGACATTGAACCGACGGCAATTCATCATTTAGGCAGCAAGCACGGCCACTCCTCCAGGGCATCGTTGGCCACTTTCATGGTTGCTGTAGGCAATAGAGGGAACTAGAATTCGCACACCTTTTGGGTTGGGTATGTGAGGCTTTGTGTTGTATAAGCATTTCATTCATTGGTTGATCAGAGAATACAAGGCGGATGTCCCAGGGACATGGGACGAAGGGCCGTTATGTGGAAAGCGGCATCTGTGTTACATTGTGCATGCGGTCGCCTCCTTGACCACGTACAACGCAGCAGCTCACGTATTTGCTGTGCTCAGTTTGACCACTGACTTTCATGTCGCCTCTCATTGTATATGGGGAGTTGTGACTCTCAAGCACCCGTTAAAATTGTCAGTCTGTCTAGCGGCCTGTGGTTTGTGAGCTCAGCGTGACAAGGGGCCATGACGACGCCTCGGCATGCGACGCCATCAAAAGAACACGTCACAGTCACCCCATCATTCCGTTCTTGTGCCATCCAGCAGATGGAACAGGGCACAACCTGATGGCTATATGTTCACCTCAGCTGTGTGCGCAGTCACGACACTGCCACGGTCACGTGAGTGCACTCGATTCTGCCGCATACTATTTGCAACTGCATTGGTTCAGTTAAGCTCAACCGATGCGGCTCGGAATCGCAACACTGTGCCTCCGTCAGGCGTTGACGTGAGATGTAGCGAAGCTCCACCATGATTTTAGGCACCGCACAACGGGGAATTGACTCTGCCCCAGCAAATTGGACAGTATTTGAAACACGGCCATTCCAGACAGCAAGAGCATTATTAAGAGACCGGCGTGGTGACCGGCATCCTGCCGCCCATCGCTGACTGGCCGTGGCTGGCGAACGGGATGTCAGAAACAAATCTGTTTCTAGATTCGGGATCTGTTTCTAGAAGCGGGTATCTAGATACCCGGTTGGCCAATGTCCGCATGCGGGGCGCGGTGGCGAGGAGCCACACTGCGGGGTACGGGGAACATTCATCAATTTGTTCAAGGGCAAGATCCGTCCGTTTGGGGGCGGTGCTGATTCTTACCCGGCAACGACGCAGGTGTGGCGGCTGTCGTACGTTTCTTGGACGCATCGTATCTGCGTCCCGGCATTTCCAGGACACACCCAAGATGTCCGCCTGTTCTGCGCACGCCGCTGAAAGCCGTGCGGGCAATCCGCGCCACATTTCAATCGTCCACGCAGGCCGCGGATTCGCCAACCCACCGCGGCCTGGCCTGTCCGAGGATATTGTGCAGCAACAGGGGAACATGTGATCAAGTTGACCCACTGCCGATCCACATGCATCAAAACTAAGCATCTATCCTTTTGCCGACGGCCCAACCGTTCTTCCAGCACATTGGGCAGCTGCTCCTGGGCTCTCTCTGCCCGCCGCACCCCGTCGCCACAGGCACACCCCAAGTGCCATCGGCACTGCCACGCGGAACGGGTCAGAGCTCGAAAAGAACGCATGACGTTCCCATGGGCCGGGCATCCTGAGCGGTCGGCGTTGGGCCGCTGGTTCCACGCAGCGTCCACGTCCTTCGGCCTGCAGTTCGACGATCTGCAGCTGGAGCGCGAGTACGAGACCGCCCAGGCCCTGCGCTTCCTGCACATTGACGCCCTGTCGCTGTACTGTCGGCTGGGCAGCGCCATCACGTTCATGTGCCGACTCGTGTACGAGGGCACGCTGTTGGGAGCGCCCGGCATGGCCCAGGTGACCTTTTTGCTCACCTTCGCCCTCGAGTTCCTTCACGCCCGGGGAGTCGCGGCCGCCATGCCGGCGTGGACGCCCGGGAGGGCCTTCCCGCCCGCGCTGCGCGGGATCGTAGCGTCGCGGCTGATATCAGTCATAGCCGTCGAAGTCGTCTATGTGCTCCTCAGCCCGGTGGCGTTCTCCGGCTTGAGGATGAACGCCCGCAGCCTGGGATCGGTGGCGTTTTTCAAGGTGGCCGAGTCGGGCGCCTTCGCGGTGTTCTTCATGAACCCTTTTCGGCCGCTCATGCTGAAGCATCAGCTGCCCCTGGCGGTGATCGTCGTGGCATGGTTCTTCCTGCACGCCCACGGCGACGGCCTCTGCGCTCGCGAGAGGGAGGACGCCGTGGCCGCCGAAGCGACTCTGAGGATCTGGGGGGCAGTGTCGTGGCTCAGCGGAAAGGTGCTGGGCGTGGTGTACATGTCCGATTTGGGGCACAGCCCCTTGCCCTTCGCGACCGCCGCCTGCCACCACATGAGCGCTGTGTTCCTCATCGTTGCGTGGATGATCCCGGTGTGCGTGTCGGCTGTGCTTGAGCACGTGTCCAGGCGGCGATTTCTGGACAGCCGTCCGTTGGCAGCTGTAGTCGACGCCGAGAGGGAGCAACTGGCGGATGTGTCGGGTCCCGTGCGGTTTCTGCACATCGTGCTCATGGTTCTCATGACGGCGGTGCTTTGGGAAGTCACATCGCCCGTGAGGCGGGCCGCGGGGGTGGCCGGGCGGCCGGATTGATGGCCGACCGAGCGCTGCCCTTGCATTTTCGAAGCGACGGGTCTGGCTTCGAGAGGGGCCGCAAAATTGCGGGTTTAGTTGGACAGTTCGATGTGGAGGCGAAATGAGGAGCTAACGGCTGTCTGGCCGTCGCATGAAATGAAATGGGCAGCTGCACATCTTTGGGATTAGTTACAGGCGAAATGAGGAATTAACGGCTGTCTTGTCGTCAAATGAAATATTGTTCCGATGATGATGATGATACTGAAGATACTGTTGGGGTTAAAGGAAGGCTGTCGCTGCAGTTTTGAAGGCCATTTTGTTCTGACCATGGACAATTTTGTCGAGTTGAAGCTGAATCAGGGGGGCCTGAGCGTCAGGACGTGACTGCTGAAGACTTCGATATTTATGTGATGTAGTTTTCGCGGATGGACTTGTCGGCCCAAGTATTTTTCCACTCAATCGCCCGTAGTCAGAAAATCAGTTATCTGTGAGCAGGACAAAAACCCTTGTTGGACTATACTTGAGACTCCAGCCTATCAGGGCTGTTCATGAAGGACTCCCAAGCGCCCATTCTCCAACACTGGCTCAATACTGTGCATCGCATCTCAAACATCGCATAACTGATCAGGCTCCCATCTCTGTATTTTGCAGAATCAGCGCCCCTCCTTTGGCAGACCAACAAGGTCGCAGAAGCGTGAGCATCGCCACATTGCCAGTATCGCAGCTCACAACTCTGTGCTTGGAAGCCGAGCAAAGTCGAACCCTCCGCCCGCCTATGCCCACCGGCGTGCATTTTTCCTTGCCATTGATTGCTTGTCATGTGTACTCTCTACTTATCGCACTGGGAGACCCTACATCGCCTTTTTGCAGCATGGAAAAGGGTCTTCAAAATTTGGTTATGAGGATGTTCCCTATGTACGATCTGTTGTCGATTGGAGTGTAACAAACCATGCCACGAGTGAGTGGGCAAACCGCGCTGGCGTCCACATACTTTCCTTTGGAATACAGTGGGGGTTACCTATGTAGCGCCCTCTCAGTAGCGCCCTGCCCCCAGTAGTGCCCCGTTTTCGGCTTGGCACCATTTCTGTTGTATGTTGTGCAGCTCTGCTGCGAAGTGGGACCTCAAAACAGTATATTGAAAGCACTTGAAAGTATATTGGAAATACGTGAAAGACACTTGAAAAGCAGTACTGAAAGCACTTGAAAGCACCCAAAAGAAGTTTCCAATAAACCTGCAAGGTTCATTGATTGTGGACAGAGTTATCAAACAGATATAAGCGTTGTGTGAGACAAGCTTGGTCTTTACGTTTATGGCTCCATTTTTGCGCCTACTTTTTTTGGCGTAAAAACGCATAAACAGAGAAACGGCCATTTTTGCGCATATTCCATTTCAGGCGGTTTACACGGAAAAGTGGTTTTTACGCTTTTACGCGTAAATAGCCATAAAAATGCGTAAAATTGGGTCTTGTGTACTTAAAAGTCAGCACACTCGGTACTGACTCAGGGAATCCGGGGAGTGGCAGATAGGCACGCAGAAATGTGCAAAAATGACCTTTTCTTCGACTACGTCGTTGCTCTTACCGAAGGCGAGGTGGGCGCTGTGTTGGCAGTGATGGAAGGGGCGGGGGACTGATCGTTGATTGAGACATCAACTTGTAATCTGGGCGTGCACGTGCACGGACTGACACGTGTCAACTATTGGTGGTAACAATCAGATCACCGTTGGTGCCACACAAACATTCCCGCCCTGTAGCGTGCATGCACACTTTGCAGTACTGCAAGTTTGTAATACGCAGCGAGATTCATTACATACTTTGGGATTTCGAGACACCACATCAAACATATTCTTATGATAAAAACTGGAACCCGGCAGAGACATAATCAGGAACACCGGTGAAGGATTATCACTTCAGCGCTACCACCACGCCGCCATATTACCACTTGCCCCCACCAAGCGACGCCACGCAATCGTAAGGCCGCCTTGTTAATGTGGCACTGCCCGGCAGACTGCATGCAGCATTCACGATGCGGGCATTATTGTGCAAATCGATGTGCAAGCCAACGTGCTGGATTGTGACAGACACCGTGTTGGAGGTGTGCATGAGATTTATAAGCTCATTTCCTTGCACTTCTGCAAATTATTTGAAAATAATTTGCGTGTCCAAAAGAAATTGAATGTGGCACTCCAAAGTGAGCCTCGAACACCGTGCTCCAATGCTATGCCTTCATGGGAGACGATGTGCAAGTGTGGTGGATCAATTTTGCGTTTAAACAGCTCGTATTCCGACCAATGGGCCTTCAACTGTGCGAAAAGTGATGAGGAGCCTCATTTACCGGATTTAATCATGACCAATAGCATTAAAATAGATTAAATTTTTAGCGCCCGGCCCCCAATAGCGCCCCGTTTTTGGCCATGTCACGGGTGGGCGCTAAAAAGGTACCCCCCCACCGTAGATGGCGATAGGCACAGAGGGTGGAAAACTGTAATCGTCTTGGCCCGTGCGCGAGGCGGGCTGGAACAGCACCCCCTTGCAGAATGTTCCAGCCCTGGGAGACCCTGGCAACAATTCCTGAATCTGGCATCTTGCCAAATTGTCACCAAACCATGCAACCATGGTCCACTCGCCCGGCCTCCACAGATGGCATCAAAACCAGCCGTCCACCTTTGCTAGCGGCGCCACAGGCGGGAGCATCGCGCGGGACCAGCGGAAAGGCGCGCCGAAGCCCCCCTTGGCCGGCGCCCACACGCGCGCGATCGCCGCGCCGCCTCCTGACCCCAGCCTCGGAACGCGGCGCTTAGGCGGGCGAATCGGGATGTCATGGGGCTGCTGGCGGGCAAGGTGAAGGCCCTGAGGGTCGCGGTGTTGGGCCTGCGCCCGTTGATCAACCCGCGGGCGGCCCTGTCGACTGGCTTCCACCTTTGCGAGGACGTCATCTCGGAGCCGGGCGTGTGTGGGGGCCTCAATCGGGAGGTGCCGCGGCTGGGGGATTGCCTAATGCGCGCGGACAAATCCTTCGTGGACGCAATGCGCCAGACGCACCAGGGGGCGGCCAGCGCCTTGGAGGAGCTGCGCGACCTGAAGCAGAGGGTCGTGGACAAGCACGCCCAGACGGTCATCGCCCACCTCGACAAGTTCATGGCGTACCTGCGGGAGGTGGACGGTCGGTTCCGGTGGCTGGACAAATGCCTTGAGGCCGTGGTGCGGCGGGCGCGCGAGATGCAGACCGCCTGCCTGCACTGCCAGGCGCGCAGGGCGTTCGCCGGCCGCCTGCTGCAGGTAGGAGGTTGGGTGGCGCTGCTGCTTGGAGCTGCCGCGTTCGCTGCCAGGCGCCACACATCGCCGGGGGGTCAATCAGGGCCTCTGTTGAACGGGCTGCCGCCGGTGAAGACGAGCCTGTCTGGCGGCATCGCCGCGGTGTTGGGCGGCGCGGTGGTGTCCACGGCCGAGCTGCACAGGCGGCTGGCGGCCGCCTTTGGCAAGCTGGCGGACGAGGCGGCCAGCCAGGTGGCGGTACTCCAGCGCCTGCGCACTCGCCTGCACCGGCTGATGCGCGCGCTGGGCGAGCTGGAGGTGCATTTCAAGGTGAACAGCGTGGTGGGGGGGCTGAGCGGGGACGTGTGGCCGGAGATTGGCCAGTGGGTGGAGGCCTACGAGGAGGCGCTGGGGCAGCTGGTGAAGGGCAGCGAGGGGTTCGGTGCCGGGAACTAACGCCGCGGGAGCTTGTGCCGGGCCGGGTTTAGACTCGCTCGCAAAGAGCCGATCGGGAGCGCCAGCGCTGAAGCAGACGCAGGCCTGAGATCTGTCTGTGCTGGCTGTCGCCAGCATGGATGGGGATCAGACGACGACGTGCAATGATAGTGCTGGCTGGTCGAGCTGCAGCCACGCAGGAGAGCTGCGCCGCAACAGGTTGCACAGTTGCTGTGATGGCGGGTGGTCCCAGGCTGAATCAGTTCTGTTGGGGAGAAGAGCATGGGCACTCTTGTTTGCATCGTAGAAGGGAATGTGCAGGCAACTGCAGTCGCATTGCGCTGTGGGCGCCTTGCGAGAGGGGCCTCAAAGACCGCAGGGCATAATTCAGTTTTTAATGTGCAGATAAACGGCGAGGAGCGATCTGAGCCCGAAACGTTGCATTGCACTGTGTTTAGGAACCCAAATCTTGGGAGTGGCTATGGAGCGTGGGGACGGTGTCTTGGGAAAGTGTTGGAAAACCTGCCAGACAAATCAGGACTGTTCGTACTGGGTTTGTATTTGCGCTCAGCCAGCATGGTGAAGACACCCATCTTCCAAACAAAGGTTGTGTCGTGCTACGTGGCATGACGACAATTGCAATCTGACCATACTGTTTCACAGTTTGCTTGGCTGTGTATTTAAGTGGATTCGCTTTGGGAGTTTGTGGCAGCAGGCCCAGGCGCTCAGCAAGAGCGTCCATATTTTGCTAACCAAGGAACTCAGCTACAGCACCCCTGCTGTCTTTTCTTTCTTGCACAGCATCTGGAATCACATACGATGGACCCAACTGCCATGTTTTGGGCATCTCGCAAGCCTGAAGTTATGTGGGTCACTGTCAATAGTTTGGGGGAGTAGGATTAGCAGATAGTGGCAGTGATGATGGGGAAGATAGCGATTCAGCACACGTGCAGTGCCTTCTTTGACAAGTACTTCGAAAATTGACTTTACCCCAGGGACTTATTGGAATGGACCTAGATTAGCGAGCTTGTGCATTTTGACTTGGTCACGTGCATGGTAGGTTTGCAGTTTTGTTTCCAAACTTCCCCAGAACAACGAACTTGTGATTCTGGTGTTGACCAGCCATGGTTGTGATTGTACATTGGGTTGTGTGTTCAAGAACTTGGATGCTGTAGCCTGCCGCTGTGATGGTTGTGGGATCCATCTTTAATCTTGATCGATTTGATTCAGAGTGACTGAAGAAGTGAATCTTGTTGGTGCTGTTAAGCTTCAAGAAAGAACACGAAATGCCTTCAGATATCATGGGAAAATGTGAGAAGGGCAACTGCAAATGCTGTTCAGTTATCCGTATGAAGTAATATATAGCTACATCAACTGCTATTGGAGGGGGGTTTGTAAGCAAAGATAAGAAACGAAAGGAAAATAAGGCATCCCAGCACAAACATGAGCTCAAATCGTGGGGGAATGTTGGCCAACTTTTCAGGGCATTGGCTGCATTGTGCTATTCAGCAGCTGCAGGTAATGTGGGAGACCATGGATTGATCTGCAAGGTAGATTCGGATAATTTGATTTTGGATGCAATGGGGAACCCTCGTTGCAACCGTCAATGCACAGCAGGCACCTCCCAGTGGTCCAAGACGCCCGTTTTCGAGCTCTCCTGTGCGTTCAAGCTGGTTGCCGCAAAGTGACCTGTGCCAATGCCCATTTGCTACTCAGGTGCAATGTGGTAGATTGTTTTAGACGTGTCTATTCTGGACTCGCCTTATTAGTTCCCGTCGGCATTGGTTTGCAGTTCATTTTCAGTTGTACGGTTTGTGTAGGAATCTTGCCCGTCGTCCTCTGTGGCATCAGCAATAGATTTCTTTCCATTTCTCCCCATTTGGCTGCAAACTGGCCGTGGCATTCCATCCGTTCCATTTTTCTTCGCCAAAAGGCCTTACAATACCGAAATCGATTATTTTGGTTGCAACTTTTGACATTCGTAAATTTCCGGGCTCGCACCCTTGCTGTATGTGCACTGCAAATTCTGAAGCAAAACACGGAGACATTTTTCATTGATGACATCAACACAGGCTTACAACAAGTCTGGGTCGGAACACTGTCCAAAATTCTTATTTCAACCTGTACTCGGATCGGCCTGTGTGCTACCAATCGTCCTGCCCAAATCCTAAACTGTCGCTGCGAAGCACCAGCGGCGGTACCACCACTCGTTGACACCACAAAAGTCAACCTCTAACAAATGTCTTTGCCACATTATGCACAGACAACGCCCCAAGTTGGGGCCCCCAACCAGCAGTTCCGCCACAGAAATCCTCGCAATGGCAAGAAACGGCAGCCAAATTTTGTCATCCTGGCATGAAAATGGTGGCCGACATGTGCACAACGCTCCTCGTCGACATGCCGAAGAAAATGTTGCAGGGGGCTCGGGGCACAATAACAGCGCCGTTACGTCACGGACAGTGCCAGCAATCAACAAGTCACACACCGACAAAACCCCGAACATGCCTGCATCAACGATGTGCCCAGTCCCGAGCAAACTGCTCGTATCACCGCGGGACGAAGCCACAGCGCGAGCCGCCGGGAAACCCTGCTCTGTGCGGGGCGGGGGCTTGGGGCCCCCGCGTCCTGTCGCTGCCGAAGATGGCCGGCAGGCGCCGCGGGAGGGAGGATGCAGGCCTGGGCAGCACCGACGTGCTGGAGCAGATCCTCTACGAAGGTGTCCCTCCTACCCGCCCCAGAGCGCCGTCCCTGCGAAAGGCCTCCCCAGCTTCAGTGCCCTGCGTGGTCTTTGGGGGGATGTGAGCCATGTTTCGCGGTGCCGGCGTCTCATGTGTTGGCATGCTCCCAGCGGGGAGCCTGCTCATGCTGGGGTTTGTTGGGAAGGGTGTTGTCCCGGAGGGGCGCTCAACGAACGATCACCTGATCACCTCTGCACCTCATTTGTCCTTTGTTTTGGCGACCCCAGAGGGCGACGCACATACATGGAGGGAGAGCGAGTGGCATTGGAACTCCCTGGACCTCGTTGCGGAGCCCAGAATGGAACAGCAGGGGACCGCGTGCCAGGCCCTGAAGGGAATGGACGTTCGCGACTTGCCAGAAGGTGGGGTCCCTTCACTGCAGCCTGGGATTGTCCGTCACAAAAGGGAGGCGTTGGATACAAGGGCCCCACGCCTCGTGAGAAAGGCTTTGTGCTTTTATAAGTTGTTGCATGGTGCTGCAGAAATCGCTTTGGTGCACCCAGCCATGCCTTGAAATTTGTGACATGTCCAACTCCTTGGCCACAAACGCGGTCTCAACACTGTAGCACAGCATACCGTAGCTGCCTGTGTTCGTGACTCGTGTTTCTTTGCCTCCAATCAGGCATGGCAAACGTCCTTGCAACACAAATGGCTGTGAGCTCCGAGGAAATGGACAAAATGCCTCCGTGCAGTAGCTTCGCAGGGTGTGTGGGCCCCAGCGACTGCGACTATGGCTGCAGGATGCCCAGCCTGCCCCAAATGTCTTTTCCTCACCAGGGACCTTCACAGACCAGCAGACAAGATCAGCATCACCAGTTCGCTGGAGGCGCCTCGGGTTTTGCAATGCCAGGTGTGGTGTCGTCACCTGCTGAACGTCCCATGCAGGTGCAGCAGCTCGCAGGCAGGGGTTATGAGCCGCCCATGGGAACGGGTGAGCCTCGAAATGTGTCTCATCTTGCTGCTCTGGGAAATGGAGGAATGGCAAGTTGCACAGCACCAGCCATGCAAGCATGCTCATTCCAAGGACTTGGGAACATGTTTGGATCGGGGGGCACACATCAACCAAGTCGACAGGTCGATATATTTGGCTCTGTACACTCCAGCAGGGCAGCTGGGATGGAGAGCAGCAGTGGCGTTGAGGCTGGCAAGGTATAATGTGAAAGGCTTCCTTGTGGTCAACTGCCTGTATCTGTGGTTGATCCCATCCACAGAACCAGATGTTGCTGTGCGATGCAAAACATGCCAGTGCGTGCTGAAAATAGGGCATTTGGTGTGGAGTCAGAAAGCCCTTAGGACCCCTTAATGCAGGATATTCATCTGCAACTCAGAGTACCAAACCTCCAAATAGCCTGCACAGGCAAAGATGGGTTTTGCTCCCTGAGCAACAGCAGCAGTAGGGAATCAACTTGGCTGGAGGGTCTTGTCTTGTGGTGCTGCACATATTACAAGGAGGTGCGCTATCAAAATATTCTGGACCTTAGTTTTGGCCACATGCTCACAAAATGCTGCAATTGAATGCATGTTCAGCTGCTGCTGTTCTTAAATGGCTTGCTGTTAAAGACTTGACAGACTCATATCTTGCACCTGAAAGACAGTGGTGAATGCAGTGATATCCAACTCAAGTGACTGCCCGTGCTTGTGACTGGCATGTGTCAGGGCAATTTTTGGAACTCAAGTAGCCCTCAGGTGCATCCATGCACTTGCCTCCATCTTGGCATGAAAGATTCGAGTACTGCTATGTTGTGATGTGTGCTATGCGGCCTTCTTAAACAAGCAAGCTTGGTGGCTTGATCAGTTTTGGAAGCTTGAATGTGCACATGTTCATCCCTGCCTTATTTCTTGTGGACTGTGCCAGACTGAGCATCAGCTGTGCTCTCAAGGCATTGCCATTTCGTGAGTTGCACGTCGCCAACTATCTTCTCTTCATTTCATAGGCCATTGAGGGTACAAGCAACACCATTGCGGAACCATCAGCGACAACATTCCCGGCCGATGTCCCGGTGCTGGTCTCAGACACTGGCAACATGCAGCTTGTGTGCCAAGTGCCGGGATGTGGGAAGGAGCTCGACAATCTCAAGGAATACCACCAGAGGTACAGGATATGTGACATTCACATCAAGCTTCCTCAGGTCAGTGCTTTGACAATAATGCTCTTTCCGGGAACCCCTTGGGGCTGTTGTGCTTTGTTGTCTGCACGACTGGCCAACCTGAGAAATGTGTTTAGCAAGGGAAACTGTGCATTTAGTTGATTTGTAAGTTTTAGTGCATGGTTGAATCAAAGTAGAAGGTGGGTGTGTCATTGCAGGCTATGTTGTTGACCCAGGTGTCAATCATGCACAGATGTTTCAACAGCCAGCTGGACTCCTTCTTTTTAGAAGAAACTTACAGAAGATTATGCAAGTGGCATTGTGTGGCAAGAACTTCCTGAGATGTGCTGCTGGTGGCGTTGCTCATCTGTTAAAAATGCTCTCCACCCATTCAAAAGGGCATCTGGATTGGATATGGAACTGGACATACTTGTGCTAGTGCCTGTACCCATCATCACTGTGAAGGTGGGAGGACGGTGTTTGCCCGTTGTTGACAGATGTTGCTAAAGGCTTTACACTCTATGCATACCAGGTGGTGAAGAGCGGGCGACTGCAGCGTTTTTGCCAGCAATGTGGAAGGTTTCATGATTTGTCTGCCTTTGATGGTAATCGGCGCTCCTGCCGTGACCAACTGAACAAGCACAATGCACGCAGACGCAAACGAGCGTGCCAGAGGTTGAGGCCTGAGATGGCTGATGTGGAGAATTTCGCTGGAGATGACTCGGAAGTTGGTCGCTTCCTCCAGGGCCTGCTGAAGAGCCCTGGCCATTTGAGAACTCTGAGGTGATTGTTGTTTTGATACAGTCTTTGGATTGTTTAGGATATGCAGCATATATATGGTGCTGTTTGGCTGTTGAGTTGATATTAAGAAGCAGAACCGTTTTAGCAGTTGCTGTGGATGCTGGTCGCAAGTACTCGTGTCCCCCTTCAAGGTGTTTGTTAGTGGCTGCACTGTTGTCAATGCATCGTACCCATCTGCTGGACCCTTTTTTACTTGCTCTTGTATTCTTGTGTTCCATCCATTCATGAGCAGCAACAAACTGTGGCAAGTATTGCGACATTTTTGTGGCTACCGGAACCTGTTTATTTCCAACACTGTCCATTTCCAGATATTTTTCTGGACAGTTGGCAGTCCGCATAAGGCGTCTGTGTTTGTGCGAACCCTGGAGCAAGCGTCTGTATTCATATTTGCATGTTTGAATGTTGTGGGTTGCCTGCAGAGTTGATTTGTCAACAATAATGATAACGATGTCTGCAGATTGCTTCTGGGACTTCCGTCAAACAATGCACTCCCACCCCAGAACCCCATGCCAGCACCGTACACCTCCCGTGCCAATGGTGCACTGGGAAGATGCTCAGAGTCATGCCAATGCAACATGGGTACCTCAGATCCTGCCACTGAAGATCATTCTGATGGAGCGCTAGATTCACAAATCGGTAGGTGTTGCAGCTGTGGAGATGGAGTCTCACCTGGCAGCATCTTGCCCCTTGCAGTCGTACCAAATGCGGGCAGGACATCTGCTGCAACACTGCTCAACCTGCTGTATTTCGCATTGGATGGGGAGCCAGACATGCACAAATCTATCTGTGGCTGCATCTTTGGTGTATTTCTCCACAGTTGTGTATGTGTTAACAGCAGAGACACTGCACACTTTGAATCAGTTGTCAGCGCAGGTTGCAATTGTCTGGATGCCGCCTCGTGTGCTGATGCCTTGTTCTCATCCACCTGACAGCAGTTAGCTGCCAGTTAGGCTCATGCCAAGTTTGTCATTCGGCTTCTATGGTTTGTTGTGCAAAAAGGCACAGTGGGCGGCCCCACACAGCCCAGTGCTGAAGATGCATCTCCTCGTGACAAAACGACATACAACCTGGCACGCAAGATGGTGAACTGCAAAGGGGATTTCAGCTCCTCCTTTGAATCAGATGAGCGCCTGCATCGACTCTCTATAAAGCTCTTCAACAAGACGCCCTCCAGTTTGCCTCCAGGACTGAAGGGCGACATCCTGTCTTGGCTAGGCTCTGCACCAACTGTAATGGAGGGCATGATTGCTCCTGGTGAGTTTCCTTATGGGAACATTTCATTTGATCATGTATGGGCTACTGTATGACAGAACACACCTGTGGATCTGCAAGGCAATGACAGGGTCCCATGTAGACAGATTGTGGCCCCCAGGATATGCTGCTTCCGTTATTGCTGCCTTGCATTCTGCATCTTTCAGGTCCTGCCATTGAATACAACATAGCTGTAAGTGCATTCACTGTGGTCCCTTCTCCTCAACCCTCGGGCCATGGTTCACCAGGAACACTTCCTTGCTGCAGTTGTTGATGATCTGACACCCATGCATTTGACACTGCAAAAGCTCCTTAAAGCTGCAGCTGCTGCAGGCATGAGTGTTCTGGGCAGCATTGTGTGGACACACAGAGCCAAAACCATTGCTTTATGCATGTGAACTGGTCTTTCGATGTGATTGCATTCTTTTCGCTCCTGTGGTTCAAGGATGCATGGTTTGGAATTCCTTTACGTTTGAAGTAGCAAGACCTGAGATGGATTTGCACCTATTTTTATGTAGCAGGCCAGTTCTCCAGCTGTGGTAAACTGCATCCAAGCTTGCACAGTCTGTTTTCCTTCGAGCATATCCATGCATCTCCAGCAGCATTGCTGCATTTGAGGAACCTTGGGCAATTAACCACAAGCTGTGATATGGGAGTTTTGTAGGCAAGCAGCACCACCGTAGATTGCTGGGGTCGGGTGACTGTGGTCGACTTACTCTGCATGGGTATGACCACTCGATTTCACTGGTAATACAAGATGTTGTTGTGTGGTCATCCTGTGCAACCCTGGGCAGTTGTTGTTGTCATGTCATGCCATTGTTGCCTATGCTGCCAAGCACTTACCTCACCCTAAAGTGGGTTCCTTGCAGGCTGTGTCCTCCTGACTGTGCACATGCTACTGGCATCACAGATTGCAGAAAAGATAGCCATGGCTGGGGTGCAAGGAGTGGTGGCTCACTTGTTGCAGCAAGAGCGTAGCAAGGTGGGATTATATTGTGTTTGACATGCTATGCTGTTTGTTGCCTCTTCTGGACAGATGGCTTGTTCTGGTGTGTGTGCCAGAGAGATGCATGCTGTCCTCCACTGTCGATCTGTGCATAATGGGTGGTTTGACGGTGATGAATATGGAGATTTTTAATTAAAAAATGTTTGCTGTATCACAGTGTGTGTAAAGATGACCCCACCGTCTTTTCCGACGGCTTGTACTTGTGACTTGGGCAAGAAGGATATCAGACGGGTCCAACTCTCATTTCCAAAGACCACTTCAGTGTTGTTCCTGGCCGTGCTCTTGTGCATGAAATAAGAAAGACTGACGCAAGACATTGCCAGTGGCGTTTGCCTGTGGCATAATCCAGCGCTGTTCTTTATTGTGTTCTTGTGTCAGATCTGGAGAACTTCAACAATGGTGGTGCAACTTGGTCAACATACTGCAGTGGTTGATGGGGGGCAGATCCACTCCACACTGAATATCGGAAATCGCAATCGCACCCCAGGGATAAGAAATCTTTATCCTGTGTGTGTGTCTCCCTCGTCGGATCGAGTCGTCACGTTGGAGACACGAGCTCTGTGCTGCAACGAGTGCCAGGTGTATTGCAGGACCCCAGAGTCTCCTCTTAGGTAGGAGAAGGAGAGTACTGATAAACATGCTGGCTTTAATTGGGGACAAGGAGAAATGATACAAGTGCTGGCTCACCTTGTTCAAGTGAAACAAGCTCCAATACCCTCCATGGAATTCGGCAATTGCTGTTCTTGGTAGATGTCAAACAGCAAACCGATACAAGCATCGCATGCTGTGTGCACGTAGTTCCACACCTTCGATTATATTTGCAGTATTGGCAAGGAAATGCTGTTGTCTTCAGTATGCATGGACATGGTGAGGCATGCAACACATGTTGTTCGAATGCCGACCGCCTGTCTGGCCACATCAAGGTTCTCAGCTCACTGCTTCCAGCAAATCACATGAACACATTGGCATGCACCTGGCATGGGGCCCAGGCCCAGCAATAGCTCCTGCGCTGTTTGCCCTAACAGATATGTGGTCCCTCAGAAAATGCAAAATCTGATAGTTCGCAATGTGAACTTCACATTGTGCCTGAGCTGGCTTCTGCCAACTGTGGTGCACAGGATCAACACATGGCGCTGTGAGGGCACCCCAGAGATGTTCAAATGTCATTTCGGGCCAACATCAGGAACCTGCCTTGCTTTTGTGGAACTGGGCTGTGGGGCAGTCCTCAGCGAGCCACGGGTGCTGCTGTCGGTTGAGGATGACGATGTTGCAAAGGAAATCAACAGTCTGGCCACCAACAAAGAGGCTGCTGCACGGTTTGGAGGCAAGATGGATGAATTTCTTATGGATGTGGCGCTTGTGTTCCAGAATACGAATGGAAAATGCAGGCATCACATTAGCATCAAACAACTTGGGAAGAAGGCCAGGCGGTGGGTGAAACCCCAGGCACCCCGTGTGCAAATTGGACTTGGATGGCTTAACGTATCTTGCATGTTGCGTGTCTGTATAAACAAGGTCAGAGGCTTGATAGTGCATTTCACAGTTGCAACAAGCAATACAAGAGTGTAGAGAAAAGGTGCTGAGTAGCGATTATTCGGCATGCTGAGACACAGACAGTGTTTGAAGTGTGTATGTGTGTTGTCCCAGGTTGCTTGGCTTTGCATGCGATCATGGGTGTATTGCATTGGCGGAGAGACTGTTCACTGCAGCCACATGGGGCTGCGCATCTGTGGATGAAGCAATCCAGGACTCGATGAGCACAACAGGGCTCTCACTGTTGCACAGAGCGGTCAGATCTGGCAGCACGACCTTGACCAATAGGCTGATGGAGTGGGCTTGGGCAAATAGGTGAGAGGGTAGTACACCAAGCTGTTCTATGATCTTCTTTGTCTGTTGCTCCCGTTGCGTAATTGTAGAGAGCATTGCACCACTATTTTTGTGGCTTCTTCAAATGTGCTGGGTGCCGCTTATCCGGGGACAAACATCCAATGAGCCGTTAATTATGCCAGGAGATCTGTGGGGCTGCTAACTTGGGCGCAATACTTGAACACGTGCCATTTTGAGCCTGTGGCATACAGCAGTGCCCAGGACATTAATGCAACGCGCAGCTCTGTTTTGTGCACCCTGAGGTTCTTGCCATGATAACAATAGAATACTCCAGTGCATTTGTCGATTTTGTTTCCAGAGTATGTGCTACTGAGAATGCTCAGAAATAGATATATTGATCATATCGCTGAGAAGGTAACACTGTGTTTAGTGGGTGATCGTGTAGCAGTGTTGTGGGTACACCTACATTGTGTGTAGTGGCCGGGAGGCTCAACCTCTGATCAGCACATGTTTTGTTCTGTCATCTGCAGTGCCGAACTTTGTGGCTGTGGCAAGGGGAGGTATGGAATCACTCCGTTGCACTTGTCAGCGCTCTTGGAAGACGACGGGCACATGGTGGTGACACTGTTGTCCTGTTGTGGACCCCAAATCTTCACCACTGCAATGTCGGATGATGGTGTCACACCCTTTCACCTGGCGCTTCAAATGGGACATTTCCAAGTGGACAAACTGATCGTCTTCCTCCAATCCCTCAGGTCAGGGGTTGAACAACAGGAAAATGAAGATGAAGGATGCCCGGAGTCATGTGGTGCCAGCATGCAAATGTCGTTTGCAGTCTGCATAGTGGATTCTGGGACACTTGCTGTTGCCTTCCTTAGTGTCCGTTGCAATAAAAATGTACATGGGATTCGTTGCTGCGTGCTTTGTGGTTCGATGTTCCATGCTACACGAAATGGACCCATCTGGTGCCATGGTTCTTCATGGTCGATTTTGATATTTTGACGTTCTTTGGTATGGATATGAGCCCATCACTACTTTTCGCACTTTCTCCATTGTACATGTGTGCTTGCTTGATTTCCCTGACGCGTCCACTCGTTGCTGTGCTGCGCAGGAAGAAGCGGTGTTTGAATTCAGCATGGCATGACGCGTGCGAGACCTGTGACTCACCGCTGCCCCCCCTCCTCCTTTCAATAATGGCCTCTTGCGGACTGTGTGGCGCACAGAAGCTGCCTGCACCACATTCGGCGCATGCCATCTGCTCTGCATCGACCCCCAAAGACAAGGGGACCACCAACGTGATGGCCAGAGACCGAACGTGCAGCTCAGAGATGGCTCTGTCTGCCGTACCCATAGCTCCGAAGTTGGAGCCTTGCGACCATGAGGATAATGTTGTGTATTCCATTACGGCGATGTGCCAGACGTGCCACACCGACAGGGTGCTCGTTGTGTTTTAAGGCAGGTGCGAATGTGCAGCCTGATGCCTCAGAGGACAATAAATGTTCATTGCAAATGCAGGCCAAGCATCATTCATGTCAGTGTGCACAGCACGGCGGTATCTGGTATCCGCAGAGCGGTGGCTGCTTTCGTGTGGGTACCAGTGGGGGCTGCTTGCTGGTATTATCTTGCCGAGTGGACCGTGGAGACTCGATGCATGTCTCGCTCGTGGGTGGTTGGACAAGGTTTGCCATCGAGCTTTGGCTCGGTGGTTGGTATTGACAGGGGCAAAGAACTTGTGAGTCCAGGTCGCGTGCACACATGACCATTTTTCTTCGACTGTCAATTTATTAAGCGCAGATGCGGTGTTTCAGCAGTGCACATTGGCTTTGCGCAACTGTTTGTGAACATTAGCGGCAAAATGATGACGACACTCCAGGCTGTCTCTGACAATGTTCTGCTTTCTGGCACCGGGTCAGTCGCCATGGTATAGGTGTTGTGTTTGGTGGCTGTCCGTTAGCCTCTGTGCAGCGGTGTGCATAAAGGTTCAAACCTGCTCCTTGGGGGCGGTGCCCTGGGAAGATTTCGACTCCAACAATCAAGCGAATCTTATGAGTAGCAATGCATTGGCTATTCTTGACATTCGGAGATGGGTCGTTTTGTGTCTCTTGAAGGACTCTAATACTGGCTAGCCACAAAGCAGGTTTCACCAAGTGCCTGGGGCTCTTCTGTGCCTTGCAGACTGTGCTTCAAAGAGTCTGCCATTTTGCACAATGGCACAACGACTACGATTATCCAGTCGTTGAGTCTTCTTTCATCTGTCGGCATGGACAAAGCAACCCACAAAGGGGCAAATGGCTTTCGTTTCAAGGACTCTTGTGCAAAGAGCTGAACATGCTCATGAACCTTGATCTGGAGGTTATCCTGGAGCCTGAAGGGTTCATTCATAGCCCACAAAAATGCAACAAGAGCCTCACATCGCATCTGTGGATGACCCAAAACTTGCTTCAAAGTAGGCACAGAGCAGGATGGTGGTCTTTCATTGACTGCAGCATCTTGGCGTCACATGGAAGCATTGAGACATTTGTCAGACCCGCATTGGTCACATCAAAACCTTGAAAGCAAGTATGCACAGCACAAGGAAAGCCACCTTTCAAGCAATTTCATTCCACAAAAGGGCCTGGACTCAACAACAATCGATGTGTTTCGTGTGTCTCGTATCGTTAACACAATCGCTACCCAAGTCAAGCACTCCCCTTTGACTGCATTCGTCACCAACTTGCAACCAGTTGGCAAAAATGTTAGCTACAACTCGTGACACCCATGGTCACAGCCCGCCCAGGGTGTGGTTGCAGGAAGTGCGCCGTTGTTGTTAGCTCTGATGGGAAGGCCCGCACCTCAAGGGGGCCACTCCCAGAGAAACTGGATGGCTCTTTGGGCAATGTTGGGTTGCCTTCATTGCCAACTCAGCTCGCAGATTCAGATTGGCGCGTGTGGCCGTGTGCGGGGGGGCCAACCTGACCTCGCAGGACACAGTACCTTGCATGCAAGGTTAGTGTTTGGTCCTGTGGCTCTCTAGCCTAAAGTATGCCGCGTGCCCTCCATGGCTGGCAGGGAATCCGGATGAGGCAAACACCACACTTCGGTGCCCCAACCCAGCAGTGGCGCCTGCGAGGGTTGCTGTAAACGCGACACAGCGCTTCCTGCCCATCGCGGCGTTGCATTGGGTCTCCCGCAGTGTGCACATTCAGGCGTCACAACCTGCTCCGCGTGCCTCCCGCCACCACGAGCGTCTCGGCCGTGATGTAGCTGGCGTCCTCCGAAGCCAAGAAGGCCACGGCGCCGGCGATCTCCTCCGCCCTCCCCAGCCTCCCCAGCGACGTTTGGCCCTCGATGGCCCGCCTCTGCTCCGCGTCGGTCACCAGCCCGGCGGACAGCTTGGTGGGCACGAAGCCCGGCGCCACGCAGTTCACCCGCACGCCCTTGGGCCCCAGCTCCCTCGCCAATGCCTTCGTCAGCGCCAGCAGCGCCGTCTTGCTCACCGCGTACATCGCCGTGGCCGCCATCGACTCAGGCGCGTAGCCCACGATCGACGACACGAAGATGACGCTGCCGCCGGGCGCGAGGTGCGGCGCGGCCTCCCGCACCAGCAGGATCGCCGCCTTCACATTCAGTTCCAGCGTCTTGTCGATCGCCCATTCGGGCATTTCCAAGATGCCGCCAGCGACGGGGTTGACCGCGGCGTTGAGCACCAAAACGTCAATCTTGCGGCCATTCCGGGTGGCTGTCTCCAGCAACCGGCGCCTGGCCTCCCGGTCGCCGACGTGGCAAGCGCAGCCTTCCGCGTCCAGCCCCCTCCGCCTCATGGCTTCCGCCACCGAGCGCACCGACGCCTCCTTTCGGGACGACACCACCACCGTGGCGCCTTCCTTTGCGAAGCGCTCGGCGGTGGCCAGGCCGATGCCCGCCGTGGAGGCAGTCACCACCACCAGCTTGTCAGCAAATCGAGGCGACATGCCTGCAAGCGGCAGCGGGCTGAGACTGCGCAGGAGGGGAGGCCGGCAGGAACGGACCCGGACAACCCCGGACGCGGGCTTGGGAGGTGTGGCCCAGCCCCGAAAGTGCCGAAGCCCGTTACAGTACTTTGAAATATTGAACCCTTCCGCATCAGAAAATTTCACCGTTGTGCTTTTTGCTCCGCATTCTGTTTTTCAGAGCGTTATTTCTTTTTTTTACGTTGCTCCGCAAAGAAAGGGCAAGATTTTGCGCTACTACTTATATTATTTTCTCCGCAAAAAAGACCAAGCGGTACGTTACTATGCGGAAGGGTTTAATATTTTGCAGTATTTTGTTCTCATGGCACAGGTCACGGCATAGTTTACGGCATTGTTGACCATAGTCAACGGGAAGCACAAAGGCGAGTTTCAAGGATAATACTCTCTGTTCCACAGATATGCCCCGCTGGCTTCGCCCCTCTGTGTCTGTCAATACAAGTCCGACACTGACAAACAAATGCCTTTGCATTCGCAGTTGTGAGCTTAAAGGCTTGTTCCCAACAACTAGATCCATCTTCAAAAGCAACTAAAGGTGACGGTGCTTCAAATCCCCACGACTTTTGTCAAAACAACGGCCAAGTTTCACGGGTTTCCAGCAACAACGCAATACCGCCATGGTGGTGGTCAGGCTTGGGTTTTACTTTGCGATTGCGTTTTTACACGTAAAAACGTAAGTTTGCGAAACGGGCTATTTCTAAAGCTATTTTAATACTTTTACGGCTTGCTGGGGCAGCCAGGTTAGGGAAGACGCTATGTCGATTTTGGTACACTTGGCATCAATATGAGGCTAAGCTCAGCCCCCCCCCCCCACCACCACCACCACCACACCGATGCAAGAATGACTCAGCAGCGCTGCCAGCCGGTGGTATACAACTTTCAAGCGGTTTCTAGCACTAAAGCCAACCAAATTTGCAATGATTTTTTTGGTCAGGAAATGGAGTTTGTTAAACATACCATTAGTCACGTAGTCTTGGTACTTCAGGACAGACTGATGACTAACCCTGGAATATAGAGGTGATGGAATTCACTAACCGGGCCGTGTGTAACGCCATGACAGGTTGCGATCAAATCAGTGTGCCGGGACTGGCCTTCTCACATTGTGGAGCCATATGGCTGGTGTAAGGAGATGATGTGGGGATTTGCAAGCGATGGCTGATGACGTGTTGTGGCTCCTGTCTTGATTCTGGGGTTGCAAATAGGGTGAATGTTTTGGTGAATAGTTTTTAAGGAACTCCAGTGGTCCGGTGATAGATTGGGTGGACAGTTGATGAGGATGAGACAGGGGCTCTGTGCTTTTCAAGGACAGCTTCAAGGCCGTTGTATGTACTGAACTTTTATAAAGTTGAAGGGAAATGAGTCATGATGATTAAACGGAATGGACCTGGATGTTTATATATTTTGTATTGTCGCGCTGCACCATTGTGAGGTCCATACGGTCGGTCTGCCCAAGCTGTTGACGTGTGCCTTAAAGGCGGTGACTTTCAAAGATGAGGGCGATTACCAATCAACATAATTATGCATCCGACTGGCCTTACAATAGCAAACGAAGGTGGATCAACAAAATGTCAAAAATGATAAACTGATTCATTTATCGTTTATCGCTACATATGAGAAGCCAACACGCTGAGATTCTGAGCATGGACCTACATATTCAAAGGCAGGAAGAGCTGCCAGGATGGCCATGAGTTGGACGATCTCTCCCTGCCCTCAATGATATCCTTTGGGCAGCCAGCCACCTTGAAACCGTCCCGAACTTTGGGCAAACCGCTGGAGGCCTGTCACCCCTCAGGGGCGTCAAAGAGGAATGGCGCCATTCTGATCACGATGGAAAGGGCTGGCCACACGCTGATGGCTCAGGAGGAGACTTGGACACCAAAAAGGATCAATTACATAATGAAAGATGCAATAAGGGCATGTCGGTCACGCGGGCTCTTTGCCCTTGAATCTAACTGAAAGAACAAGGTGATTGTACCCCTAAAAAAGGCCTAAAAGGTGGTCAAGGGTCCGTCTGCCCCTTTGTTGGGGTATTGCTGAGTGTCCGTCATGGTCACCCTGGACCGTTGGGTAACCGTACATCGTATTGCGCCTTAAAATTGATAGCCTCACAGACTGACATGGGGCAACAGATGCAATCTGACGCCCCGTGACTAGAGGTGGCCACCCGGATCCGTTAATAACGGACGAGGGTGCCGTCCGTTAAATATCCGTTAATTTAGCGGACCCCGCTCTCTCTCTTGCTGACGTGGCACGGATGGCAGCGGACGGC